ATTGGTAGTAATGAAGTGGAAAAGTTATATATAAAGTGTTGGAAGTACATGATGTGGAGGCTAGGTCTAACTCCCTACTCTCTCATACCTACCTCTCCATATTATATTTCTTCCTCCACCCCATCCTTGTATACCCTACTCTCCTACCCCCTTCTTATATACCCTACTCTCCTACCCCCTTCTTATATACCCTACTCTCCTACCCCCTTCTTATATACCCTACTCTCCTACCCCTTCTTATATACCCTACTCTCCTACCCCCTTCTTATATACCCTACTCTCCTACCCCTTCTTATATACCCTACTCTCCTACCCCCTTCTTATATACCCTACTCTCCTACCCCCTTCTTATATACCCTACTCTCCTACCCCCTTCTTATATACCCTACTCTCCTACCCCCTTCTTATATACCCTACTCTCCTACCCCCTTCTTATATACCCTACTCTCCTACCCCCTTCTTATATACCCTACTCTCCTACCCCCTTCTTATATACCCTACTCTCCTACCCCCTTCTTATATACCCTACTCTCCTACCCCCTTCTTATATACCCTACTCTCCTACCCCCTTCTTATATACCCTACTCTCCTACCCCCTTCTTATATACCCTACTCTCCTACCCCCTTCTTATATACCCTACTCTCCTACCCCCTTCTTATATACCCTACTCTCCTACCCCCTTCTTATATACCCTACTCTCCTACCCCCTTCTTATATACCCTACTCTCCTACCCCCTTCTTATATACCCTACTCTCCTACCCCCTTCTTATATACCCTACTCTCCTACCCCCTTCTTATATACCCTACTCTCCTACCCCCTTCTTATATACCCTACTCTCCTACCCTCTTCTTATATACCCTACTCTCCTACCCCCTTCTTATATACCCTACTCTCCTACCCCCTTCTTATATACCCTACTCTCCTAACTCCCTATTAACCCCCTCCCTCCACCTCCACCTAACACCTACACCCACTTCACCCTCACACGACCACTTTCCCCCGTCATCCATTACCTCCGTAAACCTGCGTCATCACAAAGCTCTTTTCAGCCTCCACCTCGCAATAATACTCAGCTTCCCACTGAAGTTCAGTCATCTCTGCTTCTCATTGAGGTTCAGTCATGTCTTTGCTTCTGGAGTTTACCTGGAGAGTTCCGGAGGTCAACGCCCCCGCGGCCCGGTCTGTGACTAGACCTCATGGTGGATCAGGGCCTGATCAACCAGGTTGTTACTTATGGCCGCACGCAATCCAGCGTACGAACCACAGCCCGACTGGTTAGGTGCCGACATTAGGTGGCTGTCAAGTGCCTGCTTGAAGACAACCAGGGGTCTATTGGTAACCCCCCTTCTTGCAGTTCTTGATGAACACGGAGTTACATGAATGGCCCTGGGGCAGAGTACATGGGCATGTCATTTATGGCCTGTTCAAAGTCATTTGGCGTCAGGATAATATCAAATAGGCGTGTGTCTACCAAATTCTGTCTCATAAAAAATTCGTTTAGATCTTCGACTCTGTTTAGCGGCTCGCTAAAAAACGAGCCTTACTGGGACTTTAGTAGCTCACTCATTTCCTTGCCGTCATCTGTGTATGACCCATCTTGTTTAAGTAGGGGCCCAATAGTGGATGTTGTTCTAGACTTTGATTTGGCATAAGAAAAGAAATACTTTGGGTTTCTTGCAATTTCATTTATGGCTTTTAGTTCTCGCATTTCTTGACTCCTGTAAGATTCCTTCAGCTTTAGTGAAGTTCAGTCATCTCTTTGCTTCTCAGTGAAGTTCAGTCAAATGTTTGTTAGTGGGATGAATTGTAAAGGACCTGCCTAGTATGGGCCAACAGGCCTGCTGCAGTGTTCCTCCTTTCTTATGTTCTTTGCTTCTCAGTGAAGTTCAGTCATCTCTTTGCTTCTCAGTGAAGTTCAGTCATCTCTTTGCTTCTCAGTGAAGTTCAGTCATCTCTTTGCTTCTCAGTGAAGTTCAGTCATCTCTTTGCTTCTCAGTGAAGTTCAGTCATCTCTTTGCTTCTCAGTGAAGTTCAGTCATCTCTTTGCTTCTCAGTGAAGTTCAGTCATCTCTTTGCTTCTCAGTGAAGTTCAGTCATCTCTTTGCTTCTCAGTGAAGTTCAGTCATCTCTTTGCTTCTCAGTGAAGTTCAGTCATCTCTTTGCTTCTCAGTGAAGTTCAGTCATCTCTTTGCTTCTCAGTGAAGTTCAGTCATCTCTTTGCTTCTCAGTGAAGTTCAGTCATCTCTTTGCTTCTCAGTGAAGTTCAGTCATCTCTTTGCTTCTCAGTGAAGTTCAGTCATCTCTTTGCTTCTCAGTGAAGTTCAGTCATCTCTTTGCTTCTCAGTGAAGTTCAGTCATCTCTTTGCTTCTCAGTGAAGTTCAGTCATCTCTTTGCTTCTCAGTGAAGTTCAGTCATCTCTTTGCTTCTCAGTGAAGTTCAGTCATCTCTTTGTTTCTCAGTGAAGTTCAGTCATCTCTTTGTTTCTCAGTGAAGTTCAGTCATCTCTTTGCTTCTCAGTGAAGTTCAGTCATTTCACTGAAGCAGAGAGAACTAAATAATACGGTTATTTACTAAAAATATATCAATATTGTCTTTATAGTGTGCATCTACGAATACAAGGCTTTATTTTGTGTCAGTATTAAGTATTTGCATCCCTCCAACCTTTCCTGGTAGGGATCGTCCTAGGAAATGTTGTAGTGAGAGTGTCAACGAACTTGTTAGATAAGAGTGAGTGGAGGCAGTTAGCTTTCATGACTTTGACGTGCTGTTGGAGTGTGAGCAAGGTAACATTTATGAAGGGATTAAGGGAAACCGGTTAGCTGGACTTGAGCCCTGGAGGTAGGATGCACATTGTCTGAAGGAGGGGTTTACCTGGAGAGAGAGGTAGGGATATTTGCAGTTTTAAACTAATATCGACGCCCTTCTGGTAAGACAGTAATGCAGTGAGTGATGGTGAAAGTGTTTCTTCTTTTTAGGTTGCCCTGCCTGTTTACCTGGAGAGGGTTTCGGGGGTCAACGCCCCGCAGCCTGGTCTGAGACCAGGCCTCAAGGTGGATCAGAGCCTGATCAACCAGGCTGGTAGTGCTGGCTGCACACAATCCAACATACAAGCCACAGCCCGGCTGGTCTGGTACCGACTTTAGGTGCCTGTCCAGTGCCTGCTTGAAGACAGCCAAGGGTCTATTGGTAATCCCCCTTATGTATGCTGGGAGGCAGTTGAACAGTCTCGGGCCCCTGAACACTTATTGTATTGTCTCTTAACGTGCTAGTGACGTTAAGAGACAATACAATAAGTGTCAGGGGCAAAAAACTAATGTGAAGGACCTGGGAGTGGTAATGTCAGAGAATTTCACTTTCAGAGATCACAAAAATGTATGTATCACACCTGTTAGGTAAATGATAGATGGATAATGAGAACCCTCAAAACTAGGGATGGCAAGCCACTGATGATTCTCTTCAAATCACTTGTGCTTTCCAGGCTGGAATATTGCCGAAATTGTAGACCTGGAAAATTTACAGAAAACTTGTACTGCACTTAAAAGCACCTAAATTACTGGTAATAGTTGAAATCCCTTGACCTGTATTCCTTGGAAAGCAGGCAAGGAAGATGCATGTAAACAAACACTTGGAAAATATTAGAGGGATTAGCCCAAATCTGCACACAGAAATCACTCCCTATGAATGCAAAAGACTGGGCAGGAGATGCAACATCTTCCCAGTGAAAGCAGGGGAGCCATGAGTACTCAAAGAGACAACACAATAAGTGTCAGGGGCCTAAGACTGTTCAGCTGCCTCCCAGCATACATAGGGAGATCACCAATAGACCTCTGGCTGTCGTCAAGGAGCTGGACAGACATCTAAAGTCAGTACCTGACCAGCTGGGCTGTGGTTCATATGTCTGTCTGTGTGGTCAACAGTAACAGCCTGGTTGATCAGGTTCTGATCCACCACAAGGCCTGGTCATGAACTGGGGCACGGGGGCATTGACCCTTGGACTACCCTTCAGGTATACTCCAGGTATGTATTTAATGAATGTATACATGCAATGAATTTATGTATGTAATGTATTGATTTTTATGGAAATAATATACTATTCCCAGATAGACATATCAAGTGCATTTAACTTGTATTGCCATGCAAGTGCAAAGAAATATCACAGGCAGCAGGATTTGAACCCAGATTGACAGCTCTCCATGAGTGTAGCTTAGCTCCCAACCTGACACCTTAACCCACTCAGCTGCAGATTCCTCATAACATTAGGTAGCATACTGGAGTGCAAGCCATAATTCTTTTAATGTTGGGCACACCAGTGAGCCTCAAGCATTGTCTTCAGTTATTTCATTTTCCTCCTGTATGTTCTGGCCTCAGAAGCAATACTGTACTCGATGACCCTTGCATATTCAAAGAAATATGTCATGTAAGGGGTGAATGCAGCCCCAGAATGAGGAGGTGACATGATTTATGTGTACAGATGTTAAAAGGAATAAATAATGGTGGATTTATGTAAGGTGTTGAAATTGTTAAACTGAGACAGAACTCTGAGCAGTTGATCAATACTGTGCACATTCTTGTGTAATGGTAAGAAAGCTGGAACAATTAGTCCAGCCATATATCTGAGAACTGTGGGTCTGCCGGGTCACTGGATGAAGAAGACCCAGGCCAGGAATTGTCCTGGCAGACCTACCTGTACCTGAGAACAGTGGTTTTTACTCCTAGGAACTTCAGCATGTAGCAGTCCTAGTTTGTCTGCCCAAAATGCTTTGCATAATACTGTATGTGCATTTCATAAAAATTATATCACTTGAACACTTTTTTTTAAATATTATTATAAGAAAATTTATTAGTAATTTTGTAGGTATGGTTTAGTGTAAATTGTTTTATATTTGCCACAGCATTGCGAATTTTCTCCCCTTCATTTTAGCCTGTTACCTTGCACCCGTGATTAGGATAACCCTTAGGCATTTTAAACTAGAACAATCTAAATTTCCATTAACAGCAATGAGACACACACAGTTATCAGCCAGTGATGGAAGGGCAGTAAATTTGAAGCCCTCCCCGAGGGTCGAGAGTGGACACTCCCACTCAAGCTCCTCAAGACGAATGTTGGATGTCAGTGAAGTGCAAGCTGCATGGAGGCTACCTCAGATGGTGGAACCTGAGGAAGAGGAAGAGGAGGAGAACCAGCAGTATGTGGTGGACCATGGGGAGCTGAACACTGATGCAATACTCTATGTCATAAAGGAGAAGGTTGGTTAGCAGTGTTGATCTTTCTGATTTGTGAGCCAAATTATTAATGTTTCTTTAATTCTTTCTCTCTCAATTCTCATTCCCTCTTGGAGGATGTCCTTCATTTAAAAAATCTTTAGGCTGCCTTTTAAATGTGCTCCTCTACGTTATTTAATTTCCCTCTATTAGATCTCTTGTATGATCTCTGTTATCCCATTACATATTTACAAATAATCCATTGTTAGGAGAGCAGTCTTAGGCAACATTTTAGTCTGTTTTGGACAAAAACAGGTTTGTGACGGCTTTTTCTGATATGGTGAATTTTGGTAGGCAGTGCTCTAGCCTCTAGCTGTTTTCCTTATGCTTTTTAAATTTTAAATTATTCCTAGGTTTTTTACCTGTTCTTTCCTCTCTATGTAAAGATCAGACTGTTTAAGTAGTTTGGATTTCATTTGAAAATAAAACCATTGCTCCTGATTTTCAATGGGACTATTTTGCAGATTTAGAACAGTCTCTCTTGTATTTTTCAAGTACAGGGTGTGATAAATATTTTTCTTACTTGTATTCTTAAGAATACAGTTTGAGTGTTCCTAAAAATGTATTTTAGATTCTCTTAATGTTTTTGATACTTTATAATTAATTTTTTTTTTCTCAACAAACTGGCTGTATCCCACCAAGGCAAGGTGGCCCAAAAGAAAAAACGAAAGTTTCTCCTTTTACATTTAGTAATATATACAGGAGAAGGGGTTACTAGCCTCTTGCTCCCGGCATTTTAGTCGCCTCTTACGACACGCTTGGCTTACGGAGGAAGAATTCTGTTCCACTTCCCCATGGAGATAAGAGGAAATAAACAAGAACAAGAACTAGAAAGAAAATAGAAGAAAACCCAGAGGGGTATGTAAGTATATATATGCTTGTACATGTATGTGTAGTGTGACCTAAGTGTAAGTAGAAGTAGCAAAACATACCTGAAATCTTGCATATTTATGAGACGGAAAAAAGGACACCAACAATCCTACCATCATTTAAAACAATTACAGGCTTTCGTTTTACACTCAAACTGGCAGGACAGTAGTACCTCCCTGGGCGGTTGCTGTCTACCAACCTACTACCTAGGTTTATAATTAATACTATCCCTAAAAATCTTCTTTCAACACATCGGCCGTATCCCACCAAGGCAGGGTGGCCCAAAAGGAAAAACGAAAGTTTCTCCTTTTACATTTAGTAATATATACAGGAGAAGAGGTTACTAGCCCCTTGCTCCCGGCATTTTAGTCGCCTCTTACAACACGCATGGCTTACGGAGGAAGAATTCTATTCCACTTCCCCATGGAGATAAGAGGAAATAAACAAGAATAAGAACTAGAAAGAAAATAGAAGAAAACCCAGAGGGATGTGTGTATATATATACAGTGGACCCCCGGTTAACGATATTTTTTCACTCCAGAAGTATGTTCAGGTGCCAGTACTGACCGAATTTGTTCCCATAAGAAATATTGTGAAGTAGATTAGTCCATTTCAGACCCCCAAACATACACGTACAAACGCACTTACATAAATACACTTACATAATTGGTCGCATTCGGAGGTAATCGTTATGCGGGGGTCCACTGTATATGCCTGTACATGTATGTGTAGTGTGACCTAAGTGTAAGTAGAAGTAGCAAGACGTACCTGAAACCTTGCATATTTATGAGACAGACAAATGGACACCAGCAATCCTACCATCATGTAAAACAATTACAGGCTTTCGTTTTACATTCACTTGGCAGGACGGTAGTACCTCCCTGAGTGGTTGCTGTCTACCAACCTACTACCTACATCCCTAAAAATATCTTCATGAAAATGTTCTTGGATTGTCTGCATATGTCAAGTGCACTTATGCCTTGCCTGAGAGAGGAGATACAGTACAGATGAGCCCCACTTTACAGCGCTTCGGTGGACAGCATTACGCTAATACAGCAGTTTTCATTTATACCCATTTTTCATTTATTCAGACTTTCTACGATAAATACAGTCACCTCTCACTATAAGTTAAGGATGAAAATGTTTTAAGGAAAATAATGTGTGTACTGTGTATGCACTTTTTAGGCCTAGCTCTATTGCTCTCTTAATATATGATAGTGTAAACATGGTATCAGACTTTTTTATGTATTTTTAAAAGTGAAAAAAGCATGTTTTGCTTGACACCGATTTTTGCTTTACAGCAGTGGTCTAGAACCTAACCTGCTGTGTAAGTGGGGCCCTCCTGTATATAAGGATGAGATGGGTTCTAAGTGTTTTAGAAGAGTAGAATTCTTTCTGTAGAGGTAAAACAAAATATAATGTATGGTATGACTTAATATTCACGTCTGTTACTAAATTAAAACTTGTTTTCTTATTTATTACATAAATTCTGTTTTCAGACTAGCACTGATGAAAGGTTCCACTCAGTGCTGCAGATGCCATCTTCCATACCAGACAGATTGTTGGATTCAAGTCAGGATTCTCGCCAGCCCTCCAGCTCTTATAATGTCATCATGATAGATGTGTCTGGATCCATGAGTGCCTATTGGAACCAGCTACTGGTGGGATGGAATTGTTATGTGGCACCTCGTTTAACTGGACGGACCAATCTATTCGTATTTGGAGACAGTGTTGTACTAAAGAGGTCAGACTCGGTTTTGGAAATGGCAGACTTTGAGAGTGGTGGAACAAATTTGACTGGTGCCTTGCAGACTATTGCAAATGAAGTTTATCTGTGCAAGGAAAAGTATATAAAAGTGTTTCTTTTAACAGATGGCCATCATAATGCAACACAAATAAGTCCAGATATGGTTATCCAGCAAATATTTGCTCCTGAGAGAAAAGTGTGTTGTGTGTGTGTCATAGGTGTAGGGTCTGGGTTTCCTGTACAGTACAGTATAAATATTCGCTCACGTTTACATAATGATAGTGCCAATTTTCCCCCTCTGTTTTGGGTGAAAAGATATGAAGAAATTGAGGTACGGATGAAAGAGATAGGTAGTACAATTTGTGATGGAGCTTCTCAAGTTCTACATTTGTCAATGGCCGGGTTTTCTTTGCCAGGAGAAAAAGCAAAGGACACTTTTCATCCAAAGGAGTGGGTATACTTCCCATTTGGACCAGAAAAAGTGCAAGAACTCTCACTCAGTTATCACAGAAACATTTGTCGCATTTTGCTGCAGCCTCGTGACATGCCTGTACCAATTTTGAAAGAAGTGTTTCGACAGTGGAATTCTGTTATTATCCAACTTCACAATAAGAAAGAGGTAGTCCCATCAGATACTCTGCCCTTCATGGAGCGACTCTTCAACACAAAAATGGAGGAGCTCAGAGACACAAAATCAGGATCTATCCGTGAGCGCCTTGCAAAAAGAGAGTTTAAGACATATGAAACAGACTTCAGGACATTGTTCAATAAAATCAGAGCAATACTAACAACTGTTAAGTTTAGCAGTGAACTAGAGCTGGCAGAAAATATTCTGAGCACAACAGTTGGAGGGGGAAAATATGAAACCAAAGTCTTACAAATGAAAGGCCACACAGCTGAAGATTATATGAATGACTGTAAAGATTTTATGAATGTATATGAGGAGCACAAACACAAAATTCTGAAGATTAACAATATTGCAGAAGATTGTTGTAGAATTACTTTATCATCCACTGTATCTGACCTCCAGGACCCAGACTTTGCCATGATGATGGATCTTAACAAGTTTGAGTTTCTCAAGCATTTCACTATTTCTGGCATCCCAGTGTATGCTCCCAGCAGGGACTCTGTCAGCATCAGTCCCTGGTCATATGGTATTCATGCTTTGGTTGATTCACCATACACCATTATGAGTCAAGTGGCCATAGAGTCCTTCAGTGACTTAAACTCTGAAGATGAGAAAAAGAAAGAAATGCAACTACAATGGGGTGAGCAGAAAACTCGCTGTAATGCCATTGTTCCAGTCTTTCCACCCAAAGTTGCAAAAATCATGGCACCAATAGTTCATACACGGCTGTATGCAATGTGTGCTTCTTTTGCCATCTTGAAAACTCCATTCATCATTGATAACAACATTCACATGGCAGCTTTGGGAGTAACATGGGTGAAGATACTGTTCGAATACCCAACCACACCCAGGCCTGAGTTTGTGAGTCATCGTATTGAAAGTATAGAAGCGACGGCAGATTTGTACCTTGGTCGACCAAGTTATATGAAGTACTGGCAGGTGCTGAAGAGTGATCCTGCCCAGGCACTCATGACTGAAAGCACTATACAGGTAGATAACAAAACACTTAAATGTGAGACTCTCATTAAACCCATGTTTATACTTCATATGTACCAGCGGAGCGAGAACCTTGACAATGCTACTGTTGTGGCCAACATCATGAGGATGATACTATTGGAGTACGTCGGTCGCTGCCTCTCTCGCTATAAGATAAATAAAAACCATTCAACTCCCTTCACAGATTTTTTTGCCAAAACACTTGCTGATCAAGAGCTGAAAAAAGAATGGGTTCAAAAATACATGGATACCACCAGAGCAAGCATCATAGGATTTGAAGGCTTCCTTCTGGATGATTTTTACACCTTGGAGGAAGTGCAGAAGGCAGCCAAGAAGACAGCATTGGAAGAAATAAAATGTTTAAAAGAACAGTTGACAGCACAGATTCCCATAGCAGTGGATGTTACAAAGGTTGAGCAGCTGCGCAGCGTGTCTTTAGCTGGTGATGTGTCATGGTTCACTTTGAAGGTTTTTGCCAGGGAGATTGGACTGAGAGAGGAGGTTATTAATGATCTGTTCAGTGAACGAAGTGTGTTTATGTACACTGCTCATGCACTGCAGTACAGGTCCTCTCGGGAGAGACTGACTACCTCAGTGGGTGACTACACTGCCTTTTTTTCTGTAGTAACCAAGAATGTACAGCAAGAGAATTATCGCAGTATAGCGACTGATCTTATTAGTGAAATAGTTAATCAGCTTCAGAGTGCCTGGCTAAAAGCATATGCTCATGCCCACAGGGAAGTGGTGCAGCCAATGACAAGGCAGCAGATCCTGGCAGAGGCCCCAGAACGAGGAGTGCAAGTGACTGACATAACCTTTGAAGAGGTCTACAAGAAATACCGTCCTGATGTAGGTCTATTGAGTAATGCCTGTCAGTGTCGTGCTTGTCCCTACTTCTTGATACCCAACAGGCGTTATAACCAACACTCATCGGTAGAACGTCAAAGTCCTACAGCCTTTCCCCATGGCCTGCATCGTGCAGCTTACCACCACAGAGACAGTGACCTACCCACTATTATCTCATACTTAGAATCTGGCACTTTCAAAACGCCTGTTCCTCGACAAGCAGTTGAACATTTCAAAAATCATCTTGCAGACTTGAAGGAGATATATAAAGAAACAGATTCATCTGCACCAACATAACCTTCCATAGATATCAGCAGTAAAAGGTAGTAAGTATCTAACAATCAGAGGCGTCGCCAGGGTTGGTGTCACCCGGGGCGGAAGCTTTGGTGTTACCTGGGGTAGCATCTTTGGTGTCACCCCCATGAAATCCAAGGGCAGGGGGATAGGGGTAGTAAACTCCAGTCACATCACTGCTGCATGACCAGTTACATCACTGCTGCATGTCCAGTGACTAATGTTTAGCAATGAGAACATTTAAAGGCCATAAACAGAACTTTAAATAAACTTTAAATAATCGTAGTAATATTGAGGAAAAGTAAACTCAAATACCACTTTGAGTATAGGCAACAGATCCTACATTTATTCATCTTCAACAATTAAAAAAAAAAACTTGAAAAATAAAGAAAAACACTAGTTCTGATTTAACCTTGAGTACAGGTAACATCTCAGTAAATCTGATATTTCATTTCCTTGCCTTCAATCCTGCAAAATCATCTATCACATCATCAAAATCAATGATTTTCTCTATAATAGGCTGTATAGAAATGAAGGATTTTTCTCTTAGGTTGCTGTAGCACAATTTTGATCATTAGTGTTACCTTCTTTAGAGGCTCTATGGTGTCACCCCCTAAATGTCACCTGGGGCACCCCCCTCCTTACGACACCCCTGCTACAATCAATTTTTTGTATGTTGCTGAAAGTCCTTCATTAGCTGTCTTACAAGAAGTGTGCAAACATCACAATTCAGAACTGCAGCATCCCTACCTCTCCTTCAGAGTTCAGGCATTGTACTTCCTACCTTTAAGACTTGAGTCTGGCTAACCAATTTCCCCGAATCTCTTCATAAATGTTTCCTTCCTCACTCTCCAGCAGCACATCAAGCCATAAAATTCACTTGTCTTCACTCGTCCCTATCTAGCATACTTGTGCAAGCCTGCTGGATGTGTGAATGTTAGATTGGAGTGAGTAGTGACAAGTGGTTGTTTTTGGCCTGATATGCTGTTGAAGGGTAAGCGAAGTAATATATTATAGGTAAATACTCCTAAGATGTATAAATATGTGTGATATTGATAGATCCATTTATCACTCTAAGATCTCACTGAATGTGGTAACTTTAATCCTGGCATTATAAGAGGTTTTGTTTAATGTTAAATAATAATAATTCCATTTATCTTCCATCTCTCGCCCTATCCTTGTTCTCCTTAGGTTGTCACTTGGAAATGTTCACTTTTTTTCTTCTCATGTTCAACACTGAAAGAACCTTGTGGTCAGATGAATAGACATGCGAGTGATTTTTGAAGTGGATTACTCACTGATGAGTTGAGAGAGGAACCAGGGATATGAGAGTGCAAGTCTACAAGTTTTGAGATAAAAAAAATTACAAGGAATTCATCATATTGTTTCTTAGCAGTTTTATTGAATTGTGATGGCCATGCACTTCTGGCAAGAGAGCTGTTTAATGAATTACGATCACTTTACCTTACTAAATACAGCTGATATGATAATTTATATTGTAGATGAAGGGAGTTTACATTGTCCATAAGGGCAACTGTGTACACAAACTGAAACTGAGGTTTCTTTTCTTCCATCTTTGTCTATCCTACCTCACATCATCCTAAGTATCTGAATTATAATTTATAGATGTGCACTGTATATAATTTCAAAACATATGGTAGAACAGAATGATATTGGAACCAGCTGTGGGCCACAGCATTCATATAGCTGATTGTTGGTGAGATCCTGTTCAAACGTGAAGTACCATGATATGGGTAGTAGTTGCTTGTTGGGGGTGTAATAGCTGTCTTTTGACTGTCCTTCAAATTGCCAAGTGGGGAGTCTTAAGAACATTGACATTGTACATAACAGAGGCCACTGACATCAGTGATGGTGTTTTCTGTACTAAGATGCCATTGTGTTGCAGTGTCTGACAGGTTGAATATCATTTGTTTAACTTACGGGTCCTATCTGGTCTTCTCAAAACGAGATGAACGTTGCTTTGCATAATCCGCTATCTTGTTCATAAGTCAGTTGATATGGGTTAGACAGTTAAAGATGATGCATTATGTGTTATCAGTCATTGCAGTTTTATTTTCATTAATGGACACTGATAGCCACTTCATTATATTATGCCAGCTCCAGTAGTATCCACGCTCTCTAAAGGCTATCATCATTTATGTTTTCTCAGAAGTCAGCATAACCTACTATTGGAGGTTATATTGACTTTAGTGATTTGTGCCTAAGAGTAGTAGGTATCTCTTGTAAAAGTGGTAAAGTTCTGTTATCTGTATAGACATGATATTCATGGATGAGGTAACATAAGTTGTTGAAACACATTCCAAAGCAGTGGACCAAGCGCTTCATTGTCGTATGCCAGCACTGATTAAGTGGCTGATAGACTACTCCAACAGGCCATAAAGAGAGGGGTGACTATCCTATCCTAGGATAGTCACTCCTCTCTTTAGACATCTTGATGACTAATTAATACATACAAAACCAAAACATTAGCTGTTTGCAGCAGCAGCTGTTGGGAGGGAGTGTGTCATCCACAATGCAAGAGATACTGTGTTGGCTGGGTTATTACAGTACAAAAAATATTCAGATGTGCTTTTAATGGAATTCTTGAAGATTTGCTCCCCTCCCCACTTAATGAAAACAGTGAAATATATAGATATATGAGATATACAGTCATACCCCACTTTACATCATTTTGGCCTACATTATATTCACCTTTGTCACTTTTCTAGAGTAAATTTCAATTCAGGGAACATCATTACATCTAACTTTACATCACTCAGCAGCATCACCAAAGTCATAATTTTTTAATTGTGTTCATTATTCTTTACAAATGTGTTTTTAGTGTTCTTTAAAATTTAGCGAATTATTTACAATAGTTTTACAGTTTGTTGTCATTTTAAGGCATTATGTCTGGTTTACGTCAAAAACCAGGTTACACCATGGCTCTTAGAACCAATTAATGACGTAGGGTGGGATATGACTACTAGTACAGGAGCGGCGGTCTGAAACCTAACCCTCCCTGTTAGTGAGGTATGACTATTTGTATTGTTTACTAAAACTAACATAGCTGCCTAACCTAATTTTGAGGAATAAAAGTCAATACCTTGGTTGGAACAGTTCACTATTAACTCACAATTTGGAGAGGAACTTTGAATTGGCATTTTGTTCTGTCCTAGATTATTATTAAGTCATGACTGATGATGCTTCAAGATGGACTGAAATGTCATGTAAGTTTCGTCTGCAAATTGTAGATTAATAGTATACCTGGAGGTATACCTGAAGTATACCTGGAGGTATACCTGAAGTATACCTGGAGTATGAACTAACTAAATCTTGTTAAAATTGACAAAAATAAAACACAGTAATTTACATAATCTGTTAAAAGAATTTGCATAACCATATATTACACTGTTTTTCTTGGGAGGAAATGGAAAAGTGAATCTTCAGGTGGCCCATTGAGTTTACATGTGCATATTAGGTTTAGTAAGAGTCATAAGGTAAACTAGTGTTTTCTTTTTTATTTACAGTTAGCATTGAGGTTAGAAATGTGTTGTAGACAGACAGTATTAAGTCCCATAAATTGTGTAACTTAATAATGTTTAGTGGTTCTGAACCTTTGTTATTGTTGGTACATGTTCCAGATGTGGGTATGGTAGGTCCATAGCTTGGGAAAAGACCATAGTTCATTTGTACTGTATTGAAGCTAATTTATTATCATGCATCCTTCATTTACATAAGTCTTAATAATTCAGATTACTAGGTATTATTGTACTTATACATGTAGTCAAATACAGTATTTACATGAAATTATGTTCTGGTATATATTACGGTGTTTTTAGTAATGAAGAATGTTGGTCTTAGATGTCTGTTATGAGAATAATTGATGGGTATATACAGTTCATAGTTTGTGATTTGGAGATGAAGTAAAGGGTTGTCAGGCAAAAAAAATGTGCGCTGTGACTCTTCTAATTTCTGTCACAAAAGATGAAGTAGTGATGTGTTTGGAGATGAGGTTTGGTATGTAGATTTGTTTGCAAGTCTTTAAAGAATGTATCATACAGCATCCTCTTGGATCCTTCTGTAAGTCTTACTATTTATGGAGATGATTTTCTAGTGTCTTTGAACACTGCTTGTTTAGTGCTGTACAGTAGTTTGCAATTGTGACTTTTCTACTTGTTTGTGCTAATAAATTCTCCTTCCTCTTTTTCTTATTTAATAATCTTATAGTCAAGTGGCATTGTTTTCTGAATTATACTTAGTAAATTTTGTTTGAGGCATTGAATCTCCATGCTCCCATACCCTACCTCCCCAGACCTCATAGACTGTACCTTGATTGGCATTACTTGGTTCTGGCCTTTTGAGCCTTATTCATTACTCACTTTTAATTCTGTGTAGCGAGTGCTGAGGTTAATGTGGTGAGTCTTATTTTAAAAGTTTGTTACCACACTTTTCCCATGATGGTTTGTATTAGCAGGTGACATCTGGAAGGAAAGGGAGAATACACTATTAATTTTAAATGTGTAATCTTTAATAGCTGAAAGTACTTCATGTTGCTTGGTATGCCATAGATGTAGTTAGCTTCAGTAAATGCACACCAATGCAATTAATGTGACATTTTATTGTGGCAACGTTTTGCTCTCCAGGAGCTTTCTATAGAGTAGATATATTATATATGTCGGTCTCCTTAATTGTATAATATGCTGTATTTCACATTATAGAAATAGTTTGTATATATACATATACGTACATGTATATACGTATATATATGCATGTATATATACAAACATCTGTGTGTGTGTATATATATATATATATATATATATATTATATATATATATATATATATATATATATATATATATATATATATATATATATATATATATATATATATATATATATATATATATATATATATATATATATATATATATGAGTATATATATTTCATATTTAAACTAATGTAGAAAATTTGAACTTGACAAGGATTGTACGTAATATTGAACATGAAAATAATGTACATATATTCAGAATACTACTGTATTAATTTATTTCTTGGACATAGTTTGACTAGTTGTCTTGTTAATTTTGTCCTCAAAGAGTATCATAATATATGTATAGACTAATAGACAATAATCAGGCTTTATAAATCAGCTACCTCATAGACTGGAAGGGTATTTACTTTTCCTTGTGAGTGGTTGTGTGCTACAGCAGTGTTAGTGCACCAGACTGACTTCCATTACTCATGTCTGGGCAGCCATGAAACAACCAATATTTCTCTCTCATACTTAAGATATTTATACTGTACTCTCATTTTTGGTTATATGGGAGTTTAGTGTGTTGTGGGGTTGTGGATCTGCCCTTTGGCAAGAAACTAGCAAAACAGAGACACAGCATAATCCCGACAAAAATCTCAGGTTATTATTATGCTTATACTATACTATTTATGACTGTCACCAAATCAACTTCAATTGTAATATACAGTGGAACCCCGGTTTTCGTCCAGTCCGGTTATCATACAATTCAGTTTTCGACCACTTTTTTCGGCAAAATTTTCCCCGTTTTCGTACATCTGTTTGGGAATCGTCCATGCCAGATGTATCCCCCTGCCCACAGGACGTGGCCACTCATGCGTTCATGACTCAGTCTGCCTTTATTACTCATAGAGGGTGGTAGTAATGGTGGTAGTGGTTGTGATGGTAGAGATAACTCCTCTTCCCTCTCCCCTCTTCGCCATCTTCCATTCGCCAACAAGAGTCTTCAATAAAGGTGAAAGTGATTTAAATGTTCATTTATCCATTTCATTAGTGCTTTATATTTGTTTCTCATTGTTTTCTATATGTAAAACTATAGTTATTCTCTATAAAATGTATTTTTGTTGATATTTTTGGGTGTCTGGAATGGATTAATTGGATTTACATTATTTCTTATGGGAAATATTACTTCAGTTTTTGTACAAATCGGTTTTTGGCCGATCTTCTGGAACGGATTGAAGACAAAAATCGGGGTTCCACTGTATTACATGTCTTAAATCAATAAAGAAAGTTTTATAATTCATGTTTTAGTATCATCAAAACTTTAAGAGAAATGGTATGCATACAAGGGGCTTCCCTAATAACATTGTACTATATACAAATATAGTCTTCATAACTGCCATGTAATTACTATAACAAATGCACTCATTGATTACATGTATAATTATGTACGGTATTGGATAATTTTGATGGTATCTGTGATATGGTTATCTTATGGACAAGTGCCCAGTTCCACTTTATTAAACTTGCTAGGAAGTATTAACTCTTGCATCTCTTAGCAGTCCTATTCTGTAGAGAGAACAAAAACTTAATTTTTTTACCTCCTTACACCCTGAATGACTGCTTTTTTATGAAAATCTAAATTCTCAAGCATACAGTCAACTGGTGGTTATTGAAAGTAACGTGTAATTGGGTAATGTTGTACAGTAGTAGCTTTTTTACATGATTTATCACTGTTTATTTCTCTTTCTTCTTAATTGTAGCTCGTTTACATTTTTTTTTTTGAACACACTAGCCATCTCCCACCAAGGCAGGGTGACCTAAAAAAGAAACTTTCACCATCATTCACACTGTCATTTTATATATATGGTGGAGATTTAGTCTTGATTGTTGTGGCTGTGCTGGATGAGCTTCAGCTCCTGCAAGGCGCCACAACAAATGGAGGCGAAACTAAGCACTGCCCTTTGCATTTGCTATGCACGATGTCTCATACTTGTTTTCCCTTGCCTGGAAGTTAAGCTTGCTCATGGGATCATGACCCTCTGGTTGGACGATAGAGATCACACAGAAGGTTCACTGCTGGCCCCACTAAATTAATCAACTGGTTTTGCATTTCTCTTCGGTCTACAATCAAGGCAACTGTTATTTCAGATCCCATGCCTGATACTTTTCTGTCTCTTCTTCACTATAACCCTATATCTCCATGTTAGGCTTCATTACCTCGATATGGGTATTGCTCACAAACTTGGTTAAAAAAAATTTCATGTTTCAGCCCAGTGAAGCTTTGGGTGTGATGCGAGATTATAGTCTGAAAAGTGGTCTTCACAGCAGCTGGTCTAAAGGTAACTCTCCATAGACAGTATGACTGGGTAATGCAGGTTAATGATTCAATGCGAGCAGATAACTTAGCAAGATTACGTACAATAAACCCATTACAGTAAATAACATACTATTCATCTTAACTATGATGTCAGTATCCTTCTGGCAAGACTGAATGATGGTGAATGTTTAATTTTTTTTTGGGGGGGGGGGGGGAGAGGGGCATCCTACCTCAGTAAGAGCATGTGTTCAAATATATATAGCACCCCTCATGGAAGGTTCCTTGATGTTGGTGAGGGGCTCTTGATTTAGGGAATTGGATCTGTGCTCCAGTTCCCCGAATTAAGCCTGAATGCCTTCCACATTCCCCCCCCCCCCCCCAGGCGCTGTATAATCCTACGGGTTTAGCGCTTCCCCTTGATTATAATAATAATAATCAAATATATATATATAAAAGATAGATTATTATTATTATAAAAAAAGTGCTAAACCCACAGCACAGCAGGGCAGGGCATGTTACTGGAGCAGAGAGGAGTGCCAAAAGAAGTATTATCAAAGTTTGTGTAATAAGTCTGTTGCTGTCAAAAAGTCAGAGGGAGTCTGACCAAAGGTGGAGTTATCAGCAAGGAGGGAAGATATAGTAAGGGTGTTAGAGCGGTGACGACATCGGAGGTAAATTTTGCTTGCTCATTGAAAGACAGGACAGTCCAATAGAATATGGCAAACTGAAATTGGAACATTACAGTTCTCACAGAGTGGAACAGGGCACCTTTCCATGAGAAAAACGGATGTGCCCGATGCCGATGATAAGGCCAGAAACCTAAACTTGGCTTGATGGAACATAATTTGTTAAGTCATATCAAATTCAAATTCAAATTCAAATTCAAAGTTTATTCTCTATAAGGATTACAATGCTGAGTTTACAGAAATTTGGTTATTGTTTGGTTTAACATGTAGTAAAATTGAGATTACAGAGTGTACCACTAGAACGCTTAGCATGGCTAGGCATTTCGGGCATACTTAGTTTTATTCTTAAATGTAAAATATTACAAATTATGAGGTAAGTTGGTATTATGGCTAAGTGACTAAATACTATTTTGTGAGTTTAGCAGTGTGAATGCTTTTGTTTTGGCACAGTATATAGTTTCAGTATTGGAGTATCACAGGATTCATTATATTAAGACTGAGATTAATATTTCTGTTTATGGTCAAATGATTTGTGCGAGTGTAAGTGTGAACCACCAGGTGGTATTCGTGAAGTTAGTTGACGGGGTGTATCAGGGAGATAAGATGTTTTCTAATGGTAGTTTTGAAGGTGATGAATGTGTCTGCATTTCTAGAGTTCTCAGGTAGGGTATTCCAGATTTTAGGGCCTTTGACATACATTGAATTTTTGTAAAGGTTTAGTCGGACACGGGGAATGTCGTAGAGATGTTTGTTTCTGGTGTTATGCCTGTGGGTTCTGTCACAACTATCAAGAAAGCGTTTAAGGTCAAGGTTGATATTAGAGTTTAAGGCCCTGTAGATATAGATTGCACAGTAGTAAGTGTGGATGTACTGAACTGGGAGTTTACCTGGAGAGAGTTTCGGGGGTCAACGCCCCCGCGGCCCGGTCTGTGACCAGGCCTCCTGGTGGATCAGCGCCTGATCAACCAGGCTGTTGCTGCTGGCTGCACGCAAACCAACGTACGAGCCACAGCCCGGCTGATCAGGAACTGACTTTAGGTGCTTGTCCAGTGCCAGCTTGAAGACTGCCAGGGGTCTGTTGGTAATCCCCCTTATGTGTGCTGGGAGGCAGTTGAACAGTCTCGGGCCCCTGACACTTATTGTATGGTCTCTTAACGTGCTAGTGACACCCCTGCTTTTCATTGGGGGGATGGTGCATCGTCTGCCAAGTCTTTTGCTTTCGTAGTGAGTGATTTTCGTGTGCAAGTTCGGTACTAGTCCCTCTAGGATTTTCCAGGTGTATATAATCATGTATCTCTCCCTCCTGCGTTCCAGGGAATACAGGTTTAGAAACCTCAAGCGCTCCCAGTAATTGAGGTGTTTTATCTCCGTTATGCGCGCCGTGAAAGTTCTCTGTATATTTTCTAGGTCGGCAATTTCACCTGCCTTGAAAGGTGCTGTTAGAGTGCAGCAATATCCAGCCTAGATAAAAAAAATTTGACGAATTCCACGGGGCTTGGCCTCCTGTTTTGAAGGTTCCATTTCCTCTGTCATTTTTTCTAGAGATCAGATCAGAGGCCCCTTAATAACCCTCCGCAAAATCACTCCCAGGTTTTGATGTTGGGTTTCCCTATTCGGGGCCAAATTTTTTTGTATCTGTAAAAGATTTATTTTCCGTTCCAAAACCCTGAAATTTAAAAACTCATTTTTGAATTCAAATGTTTTCTGCGCCATGAAAGTTTGGTTATGCCGCCTGGGCTTGCAGTGCTGCAATAAAGAATGATGCAGATTGGGTGTAGAAAGGAGGAAACCGGTGTGTGTAAATCTTTTATGTCGGATAGGATGAGGACAAGATAAACATTGTTTTTGGGGAAACAGGCCAGTAGCTGCCCAATTTACCGGAACTCCCTTTTTCTTTAAAAAATTTTTAAACCCCACACCGACCCGACCCACCCCACCAACCCCCCCCCCCCCTTTTTCAAAAAAACACCCCCCCCGCCCCCCCTCCGCGGACCCGTTCAAAAACCCAGTTGCCCGGGGTTGTGTAAGAGGGGGTTTTCGGGGATGGATGGTGAT